CCTTCCCAGTAATGCTGATCGTGTTTTCCGTGAATTTCACGTTAACGTCCGTGGCACCGCTCACTTGCAGAGTGACATAGAGCTTGTCCTTACGTTCAGCCCACTTGGTTGGGATGTGCGCCATTTCGTTTCTTTTATGATAAGCCTTGTGTTACTTCTCACTATTGTTAGCAGTCGTAGGGGTATTATGACTTGTATCTCCGCAGCATGTCAACGCATAGACACAGCAACGAGAGGAGCGAGGCAAACAACAACACAAAAAATCAAACCAAAAAACAAACATAACAAAAAGACATAATATTAACAGGAATGTATTTGCATGGGGAGTTGTGACGTCGTGGGTTGATCTCCATTTCTACCCCCACTCTCACGTTATCACGAGGGAAAAAAACGCCGTTGTGAGTCTTTCCTGTTAACTGCCCCCCTCCTCCCCAATTTCATCCTCCACGTAGCACCAGACCTAATTGGGAGATTTAATTCTTTCCTTTTCTTTCTCTTCTCGTTCCTTCTTTCCCTGTTCTCAACGCCACAAGGAACTACGTTCGTGGTGCCTCGCGGATGTACAGCACGTTGTTGCACCGCAGCAGCATCTCGCCCAGTTCTGTTTCTTGCTTTGCCTTTTCCACCGTGTCCCGCAGCTGAAGGTTCATGTAAGGGTCACAACTGACCAACGTTCCAACGTAGACAGGGCCCCATTTGCTTTTAACGTGCACTGTGCTGCCGACAAGGCTCACCAGAAATGCTGCCGGAACGTTTGCGTCCATCGTTATCTAAATCTACACGTGCTCCTTTAACAACAACAAAACAACAACAACAAGTGGATGGAGTGTGACTCACAGGGACAAGCAGACACAGCTGCAGAGCATAGATGTTAATCGTCACCCTCCATTGAGAGTGGTGGTGGCAAAACACACCTCACGGTAGCACCACCCAACTGTTTTGTAGATTCCTCTTCCAGTTTAGGAGCAAAGCAGAAATTTTTTTTTTTTTTAAAAAAAACCACCCGGCGTTGTTTTCATTACTCGTGCAACACAATTCCTTCACGTTTGCTCCTTCAATATCCTTTGCAGTGTGACGAGTAGCGAAGATGACTGAGAAGATCGTGCTGCGGGCAGGTTAGGTTGCACCCGGTACAGTTGAAGTGCCTCATGTAACCAAGTCGGCTGTAACTCTTTGGAACACAACCTGAAAAGTTGTTACCAGCAAAGTCCACTCGGGTAATTTTCCCTGGCAACTCCGGAAGGGACCCTTCCAAGTTATTGTGCTGCAGTTCCAACCACCCCAAATTCGCCATCTGTGAAACCCATGGACCCAAATGGCCCGAGAAGTTGTTGTGTCCAAGTGAAATGTGGCGCAACTTCTGAAGCAAAACCAAATCCGGTATTTCACCCGAAAAACGATTATGTTCCAGAAGCAACACCACGAGACTTTTAAGTGTCGACAACGATCTCGGCAACGTACCACTCAACTTATTGTGTGCCAAATTAATAATCTCAGCGTGGACGTTCCGCGCCATGAAGTCATCCGGGAGCGATCCACTGAGGCGATTGTGCGCCAAATCCAATTTCTGCATAAAGCAATGATAGCTCGTGTCCCATATCGTTCCATTCAATTTATTGAATGAAAGACCAATTGAACTTGTCATTTGAAAGGCCTTAAATTCCCGTGGTATTTCACCCTCTGCTTCGCCGCTGTAGTGCTCCAGAAACAAAAGACCCCCATCGGATACCGGGGGCAAAAAGTGTCCACTTCCATTCACACAACGAAGTCCAGCAGGTGCGGGATGAGCCTTCTCGTCGTTGTTCCACGCACAAGGCTCATCTGTTTCCCAGCCCCTTGTAAACTGCTTGGGCCACTGCTCGCGGCCTCTCGTGTTGTTGTAAAACTTTTTTATCGCCAGCGAGGTCATAGAAGGCTCGAAGAAAAGACTGTAGTTACATCCCAAAAATTCCGCCTCGGCATGTGGCGTTCTTAACGCTAATAATAGCAGCAACAGTACCAGTGATGGCGTTGGCATAAGCCTCGTCTCCACTTCTTGTTCTCTGCAGGTTATGGACAGAGAAAGCACCACTAACTTTTTATTCTTCACTGGCGCATCTACAGCACATACGCTGCAACGAACTCTCACACATTACACGCAGGCGACAAAAGCAAAAAAAAGAAAGAGAAAGCAAACAAGCATAAACCATCAGGAAGCAGGAGCGCAAAAAAAAAAAATAGCAATTAAGCCGAAGTGCAGACACATACACACACACACACACACACACACACTACTGCTGCGACAGGGGGTGTGGCTGCGCGCAGTAGCGACGCAGAGACATGGGAGACAAAAATCCCGGTGCGCACTGAGGGCCGCACCACTCAAATAAATAAAACAAAGTACAAAGAAAAAAAGAAAAGGAAGCAGAAACCCTATCCACCCAAAAACGAAGGTGCATAAAGAAATGTAGGGAAAATAAATAACAAAAACATTAATAATCAGGCGACACACTTCTCCACTATCCACGTGTCATTCCTCTTCCTCTCCAATTAAGTTGTATTTTCCTCGGTTTTTATTTTTTTTATCTTCCATTTTTGATTCGCTCGTTTGCCCCC